TTTTTTCACCGCACGAAAGTTCCGCCCCGGTGTGCAAACTTCCATAAGAACCCATGAAATCAACTCTTATATTTTTCCGCGAGAATAATCCGCGCGGATATTCGCCCTCAGTGACAATGGACTTCAAGGAAGTCGGAGCACCCTGAGAAAACACACGCAGATGCGGGGAGAACATGCAAACTCGGCACAAAATGGCTCCAACCACAGAAATCCCCAATGGCTGGTGGGTTCAGAGACCGAACCTTCTTGCTGTGAGGCGACAGTGCTAACCACTGCACATCGTGCCGCATTTAATGTTTAGTAGCATTAAATTTACCTAAAACCGACATCTGCTCTGTGACACTGCACACTAATTCACATTTCTGTTAGCATGTAGCTCACGCAACTTTCGTCTAGCAGCGGCTCAGTCAAGTTCATAAAGACTAAAAACAACAACAACATAATGGCCAAATACAAGACAACCTAGGTTATAATACCAAGCATATCCACTTACCAGTGCTTCAATTCAGTATATTGCGTTTTAAATTACAGTCCTTACTGGTCCGCTAATCCGAAGTAGTTCTTTGTTGACAACTGCTACCTGTTTTTACTCGCGTGCAACACGCCGCGGCCGCACCTCCTGTACCTGCTTCACAATAAAAGCTTCCTGGTGGTTCGCCGACAGAAAGCTTTTATTATGAAGCTACAGCAAAACGATAAGTATCAGCAGTAACGCTAGCTTCACCAGCTTGTAAAATAAGTTTAATATCTGTAAATTCAGACAGGAACACAAAACTAACACTAATCTAATCCACAGAGACTCGGTCACAAAAAGTGATATGGCGATGCTCAGCGGGATAAAAAAAAAAAGTTAGCTAGCACAAGACCCACCTGCTCTCTAAAATTGCACAAACACGCCAACAATATATTATATATTCTGGGTAAAAAGAAAATGTTCACTTACCTTTCTCGACGACAAAAAAACGACAACAACTTGAGGCCTTGCGCATGTGCAGTCTGAAACGTCTCACTCTTCTTCTTCTTTGGGGTTTTAGGCGGCTGGCATTGCATTACTGACACCCTCTGGATGTAAGATGTATCGCAATCCTAACTGACTTAACGTAAATAGTTTGTGATTAAACAACAGATTAATTTTTTTTACAGATAACGACAGACACAATTTCGTCGACTTTATTAGAAAAACATGTTTAACTGTAACAAAGACAAGTATTTTAAGTAAAATGAAAATAAAAAATAAATATAACTTGAACAACACCTCTAATTCACTTTTTTGAGTGCTCTGACGTCAAACAATGGAGACAGGTAATAAAATACTGCGGTTATCTTATCTACACGCAACCGCTGGCACCGGAGTCTTCCAAAAACTTCACCGTGGACTCTGGTTTCAAAGAAACGCTGTTGCGGGGACCCAAAAGTGTGGTTGCGTGTGGCCAAACAGCCAAATTGCATAGAATAATACACGGTTTCAGAAATACACGAGTCTGTGTGGAATAGGCCTAATAATAGCAAGAATGTTTTATTTGAACTGGTGCATGTAGATTGCTTTTGTTTAGCCAGGGCAGAACTATTCAACGGCGTAACGGTCAGTACTGTCGATGCCCCGGGGTGTAGCAGTAATGCTGACTGTCGTGCATTTCCGGTGGGAGAGAAGGAATCGTGGGTGTAACCCGCTCTGTATGGAGCCACGTCAAACCCACCAATAGAAACTCTTCTGTCATCCATCAGCGTAGGCCCCGCCCATTAAGTGCAGTTGAACTTGCAAGCAAAACTTTAACTTGCAAGCAAAGAGGACTGATCTGCAAGCAAAAGTTTTTAACTTGCAAGCAAAGAGGACTGATTTATAGGCAAATGATCATACATTTTTACTTACAAACTTGATTTTTGATTGCAGTTCAAGAAATATGCTCTCAAAACAGTTTTATATGATTGCAACAAAAAGACACAAAAATACCTCCATAAAGTTGAACAATCAGTGCTATGTTTCCAAACCATTTGAACAGGGAATAACCACCGTTACATCACCTCTCAGCAAACAGAGGACGATGCTTACAGCTCAGAGAACATAATTCAGTTGCCTTACATGGAAGAATGAAAAAGGAAGGATGCGGAAAAAGACATATAAAAGAGATATTGCCTCGGCAGCAGAGCAGTTGGTTGCTGGTTGCCAAAGAGCCGAGCACATTAACTGATACTCGCCAAGACGTTAAGACTTTATGTGCCTTTACTTTCCTGTTCTAATGACTTTTTTCCTCTCCTCTTCTTTTATTTTGGTCCCTCTCAGCTCTTTGATTCATTTCTCTCCTGCAGTCATCACCTTTACTCTTCTTCCTCTCATTACCTGGCTTAACATCTTATTTCCTCTGTTTCCTCTGTTGTCATTAAGAATAAGAATAACTTTATTCATCCCCAAGGGGAAATTCAATTATCTGTCAGCTCATCTATTATACAGTACAGGCCAAAAGTTTGGACACACCTTCTCATTCAATGCGTTTTCTTTATTTTCATGACTATTTACATTGTAGATTCTCACTGAAGGCATCAAAACTATGAATGAACACATGTGGAGTTATGTACTTAACAAAAAAAGGTGAAATAACTGAAAACATGTTTTATATTCTAGTTTCTTCAAAATAGCCACCCTTTGCTCTGATTACTGCTTTGCACACTCTTGGCATTCTCTCCATGAGCTTCAAGAGGTAGTCACCTGAAATGGTTTTCCAACAGTCTTGAAGGAGTTCCCAGAGGTGTTTAGCACTTGTTGGCCCCTTTGCCTTCACTCTGCGGTCCAGCTCACCCCAAACCATCTCGATTGGGTTCAGGTCCGGTGACTGTGGAGGCCAGGTCATCTGCCGCAGCACTCCATCACTCTTCTTCTTGGTCAAATAGCCCTTACACAGCCTGGAGGTGTGTTTGGGGTCATTGTCCTGTTGAAAAATAAATGATCGTCCAACTAAACGCAAACCGGATGGGATGACATGTCGCTGCAGGATGCTGTGGTAGCCATGCTGGTTCAGTGTGCCTTCAATTTTGAATAAATCTCCAACAGTGTCACCAGCAAAACACCCCCACACCATCACACCTCCTCCTCCATGCTTCACAGTGGGAACCAGGCATGTGGAATCCATCCGTTCACCTTTTCTGCATCTCACAAAGACACGGCGGTTGGAACCAAAGATCTCAAATTTGGACTCATCAGACCAAAGCACAGATTTCCACTGGTCTAATGTCCATTCCTTGTGTTTCTTGGCCCAAACAAATCTCTTCTGCTTGTTGCCTCTCCTTAGCAGTGGTTTCCTAGCAGCTATTTGACCATGAAGGCCTGATTGGCGCAGTCTCCTCTTAACAGTTGTTCTAGAGATGGGTCTGCTGCTAGAACTCTGTGTGGCATTCATCTGGTCTCTGATCTGAGCTGCTGTTAACTTGCGATTTCTGAGGCTGGTGACTCGGATGAACTTATCCTCAGAAGCAGAGGTGACTCTTGGTCTTCCTTTCCTGGGTCGGTCCTCATGTGTGCCAGTTTGGTTGTAGCGCTTGATGGTTTTTGCGACTCCACTTGGGGACACATTTAAAGTTTTTGCAATTTTCTGGACTGACTGACCTTCATTTCTTAAAGTAATGATGGCCACTCGTTTTTCTTTAGTTAGCTGATTGGTTCTTGCCATAATATGAATTTTAACAGTTGTCCAATAGGGCTGTCGGCTGTGTATTAACCTGACTTCTGCACAACACAACTGATGGTCCCAACCCCATTGATAAAGCAAGAAATTCCACTAATTAACCCTAATAAGGCACACCTGTGACGTGGAAACCATTTCAGGTGACTACCTCTTGAAGCTCATGGAGAGAATGCCAAGAGTGTGCAAAGCAGTAATCAGAGCAAAGGGTGGCTATTTTGAAGAAACTAGAATATAAAACATGTTTTCAGTTATTTCACCTTTTTTTGTTAAGTACATAACTCCACATGTGTTCATTCATAGTTTTGATGCCTTCAGTGAGAATCTACAATGTAAATAGTCATGAAAATAAAGAAAACGCATTGAATGAGAAGGTGTGTCCAAACTTTTGGCCTGTACTGTATGTCAAAGAATTATAAAGCCTGATGGCTGTTGGTATATAGGATCTTGTGTATCTCTCTGTCCTGCATCGAAGAGAGAGAAGCCGTCCACCACAGTTTTTTTGGTCTATCAAGGTGTTGTGGAGTGGATGATCTGAGTTGTTCATGATGACCTCGAACATCTTCAGTGTGCATCTCTCCACCACCTCCTCCAGTGTGTCCAACCTGACTCCAATCACAGAGCCAGCTCTGTTGACTAGTTTTTCTAGCCGCCTTGCATCTTTGTGTCTGATGCTTCCTCCCCAGCAGACTGCAGCATAAAACAACACACTTGCCACCACAGACTGATAAAACATCTGCAGCATCTACAGATGTTGAGACATCTAAGCTTCCTCAAGAAAATAGCTTCACCTCTTCAGGTGACTCTGTTAAATTACCTCCAAACTCATTCCCTAGACTGTATTTCAAATGTACTTAAAGATTAGTGTCCTGACCTCTGACATGTCTCCACTACAGTTGGGCTGCAAATTAACTTACGAAGCAAAGTGTGGAAAAAAAAGGTCTAAGACGTTGACCCTGTATTTTAATAGTTACTCATTTGTACGATTAAGTTAGCCTTGCTATTTTATTATCACTAATGCAGCCTTGCATTGTCTTATTAGTTCTCAGGAGGGTGTGATTTTCCCCATTAACCAGTATTTAGTAATAAAACCCAATACTAAAGCAGCATTAGCTGGAGTAAATGTTGGATTAATTAAGTTTTTTAACAGCTATGACCATATTGATGATCACAAGCCAATCGCAAGAAAAAAAATTGTTAGCATTAAATGTTTCTGTAAACCATGATACGTTATATTTTTACATTATTATGTAGTGGATACGTTGAAACTTTACGTTTCTTTACATTTCAACATTGTGATTAATGTGTGGTTAGGTTTAGGCACAAACCCACTCCGTAACGGCTAGGAAGAGATTATATTTTTTTAAAAAGTATTACTCCCATTGACTTACATGGCAAAAGAGACATCTAAAAGTCAGTGGATACTTTTTTTGAGCATCACAATCCCCGCAAAATGACTCGTCTCACCATTGGGATTGGATCCCTTTGGTCTGATAACAATTGGAAAGTCTAGAAGAGCTGCATATTATATAATAATACTAGTCCATACCCGTTAAGTGCACAGGTGCCCACGTACAGTTTCACATGGTGTGTGTTTGGGATACAGGTCATAGGAGATTGCAGATTAAATAGTCAACTGAACCCATTAAGAAGAGCAACGTATTCAGACAGAGTTTTTGTGAATTTGATAGTACCATTGCTTTATTGAAAGTACAGTAGTACCATTGCCAATAGTGGGATAGTTAGTGGGCTAAAACTGTACAACTGTAAGCAGTTTTCTGTTGTTATAGCACCACCCAGTTGCCAATTAGAGTTACATTTCTCCAGTCACCTTGAGGCGTCCTGTTCTACATATCTACCAAGTTTAGTAAAAATCTATATGGCGGTTAGGCCTAGATAAGAAATTAGCTCTCTAGTGCCCCCATTTTGTTTGATTGGGTCAATAATGGAGGGGTCCCCTCAGATTATGTGTGGTCATATGCCTACAAAGTTGCGTGGTGATCGGTGAAACCCTTGAGATGTTATACACCTTTATGTTCATTGCCTTATAGAAGCTCAGTTTTAGTAAGTATTCCACTTTTGCCAAGAGGGAACTTTAGATATTGGTCCCTAGATTATGTTCACCCAGTTTCATGCAGATCGGTCAAACTTCCTAGGAAGAGATCGATTTTAAGTGTATTTAAAAAAATTCAAAATGGCAGAAAACCTATAGAACCGAAAGTTATGGGTTCTTGGGCAGATTTGTTCCTCATGAGGAGAGGGATCTCTGTGCAAAGTTTCATGTTTGTACGACATACGGGGCATGAGATATGCCCATTCAAAGTTTGCAATTTCAATCGGTTGCTATAGCGCC